TGGACCCGGGTCTCTATAAACCTGTTTCAAAGCTTCAATAATCTCTGCAGGTTTCCAACTTAGTTTAGTTTCAAAGGTTACGTTAGTTCTTATCTCAAAAATTGTCATTTGAAGGATTTGAAACTGGTAGCTATTTCGAAATGTTACCTTTCTTGAACCACATCTTACGTAAAATGATCAGACGGTTGCATGTTATTAAGAGAGCTCTTAAGACGTGTAAAACTTGTAAATCTTTGATCTATGTAAATTTATGCCAATTGGCTAAGAACCTTTTGAGTCATCCTTGTAAAGGCGTTAAACGAGTAGCTACTGTCTATGTTTTGTTCAACAGTTATTTAAACTAGATGCGAGTATTAAAGAATATGTCAACAGTGAGGTTTCAAGTTCTAATTTGCCTTAAGTATCTCAAGTAAATTAAAGAGTCTCCTTCCAAAGAGCTTTAAAACAAGATTTGCGTTGGCACTTTTATGTTAAGGCACATTTCGATCATATGCATTTCCTCGTGGTAGCCATCGTGGTAACCGCAGTTATTTTTACATTCAATAAAAAAAGTCAGCATTTTCAAAGATATGCCATAAGAAATGCTAAGTACACGTGAGCATTAGTACAGACGGTCTTAAATGTTACTCAAATTAACTCGTGATTTTATGTTTACCAGTATATAAGCAAGGAAAATATGGTCCTAGATGCCTCAGTTCCAGCCTCTTACCTAGGTAATTTGATATCACTTTTTAAGTTTGGAAAAATTTGATCGTATTTTCTTGAAATAAATATGCATTAGTTTGATGTGAAATACTTATTTAAACTTTTGCTACGTCTTCAATACTTTTAGCCACAATGTCTAATCAGTCATCATAACTTCATAGAGACTTTTAAAATGAAAATTCAGAAGTGCATTTGTAAAAATATTTAAAAAGCTTTATTGCCTATTTTCTGTAGATTAACGATGTCAGTTCGAGGAATCAAAAATGATGTAGGTCCCAGCTTTACGTAATACGCATGCCTTCGAAAAAATTAATGATTAATTACTGCATGTTAATAAAATTATCAGTGATATTATGCTTGAAGAATTTTCTACATTCACCTCTAATTTTAGGAACAGTATAGACAGTTGGTAGATTTAAGTTTTAAGAGGCCAGTTGTACTGATGGTCGAAATGGATGGATGCATCGCCTGCTACTTTGCACAAAGCACATTCAAGTCAATTTCAGCGGAATTTCCAGGGATTTATTCAGTTAAGATCATGAAGGAGTTATTCTACGTAAGTAATTATTCTCCCACTTAATATATCTTTATCACCTAAACATACATTGTCATTAGACTTATTAATATTAAATGACAGGCCTTATGATAGTCATCAACGGGGCTAATGATAAATATCACAGAGTCTGCTATTTGAAATAATAATGTTAGTCATTAATAGCCCTTTAGTTGATTTCGGGCTTTACAAATGGGAGGAACACCAAAATCACAAAAAGTCGAGAGGGGGGAGCACAGTTGAGTGATTCACAAATGTAAAAAAAGACAGACAGACGAAGGTAAAGAAAAAGGTGAGATGAGCACTGTGGAAGTGGAAGTGGTAGAATATGTCATTCAGTGGGATCATGATAGTTTGAAGTTAGAGGTCAACTGCCGACTATAGACTCTGTTGTTGTATGAATATACATTACCTAGGGTACATCACGTGAAGGTAAATCTATTGCACATTAGACAATATATATATATATATATATATATATATATATATATCTTGTAAATTGAACCAACGTCGTAGAATTTCAAAATCCCTTTTTCTGCATAGATAGGGGAATAATACACGTTACTTTAACGATAATGTTCATTTAATCTCACTGAGGCAAATGCAAAATTCCTTTGAGTTCTCATTCACCCTTTAAGGGTTTCCATCCTAAATGGGCCTTAATTTAAATGAATGTGAATTTGGTGGGATAGTCAATCCATAGAGAAGTTAGAGGGAGAAGTACCCTGCAAGAGTGTTGTTGTGCGAAGGTGCACAATAGAGACAGGTACGATGGCAACTCGAATTGTCCTCAAAAACATCATTTATTATTGTAGGAGTATGTGCATTAGAAGCGGAACCAACTTCAAAATTTTAGAAAACAGTATCTGTTCAGTTTAAACTGATATTATTAAGAGCAGTGCTAATATTCAATAAGGTGTTTTAACTTATAGTCTGTACGTTTTTAATTGCCATCTCCATACCTACTCAAACTAAGACGTATTGCTTACTTCCTAAAATTCTTTTTTCTTTATTTCCTCACACCTTGTGCTTCGTCGACTCCATTTGTGCTCGTTTTAGGGAAACGTTGACAACCTTCGATTCAAGTATTTCCCCACATTTTTACTTCTCGTAAAAGGAGAGTTCCTGGACCAAACCGAAGGAAATAATGAGGCAAAAATTAGAGGATTGTTTCTCGAGGGAGAAGAATACAAATGAATAATCTAATAGTTGTAGCATCACTATTGCCTAGCTCTCTTTCTTGATAAATAAAATTCTTTTAAATTATTAGCGAATTGCTACTCTAATCAGCCGTGACTATTCTCAGAAATCTCTATGGCAGATTTTCTTATGTTTGGAAGGACTCCCAGGACTAGCTAAGCTACCGCAAAACTATGGAGGAAATAGAGGTATCAGGTGGAACACGTTATTTGGGATGTGTGCGTGTGGTGTCCTGATAAGAAGCTTAGTCATTAGATTAATATGGCGTGATTTTGCCGAACCGAACAAGAGCAATTGATTGGCGATTGGCTGGGTGCTCTACTCGCTCAAGACTGCGCCTTCAAATCTGTTTAAGTACACATGAGATTACTTTGCTCGGCGGTTACAACGATGCTTGATCCACAAATTCAGTTTAAAAGTTGTTAATTATGGAAATAAATGCCTTGACATAAAAACAGTGAGAATTCAGTAAGAAGAATCGCTTTTATAGGTATAACTGACTGTATCTAAAATGAACCAATCATTGTATTATCCGGTAAGAAAGGTTATCCATAACTCGAAATGCTAATTCAATGACTCCGGGGAAATGTGAATAAGTACATTGCAAAGGACATTTTACTTTTGAGAGAACAGAAAATACTTGGGACATTTTGATCTATTGTATCGATATCTTCCATAATGTACAACAATACTTCAGCAATTAGCTTAGCTAGTTCTGGGAGTCTAGATAGATATAGAGTGACTCCTTTACTAGTATAGCAATCCACTTCACATCAAGTTGCGCAATCCGCTTCAAACTAAGCAACCTTTCAACATGAGAAACCATCCGAAAAAAAGTAAATCAATTTCTAAAGGAAGACATTTTCATTTTGAAAGAAATTTTAGATAAAGTATTAGAATTGGGATTCAGAAAAGAAGGAAACCTCTGCCTTCTCCGAGCTTTGAAATCATCAGGTCAATTGCTCTTTCAAGTTGAAGTTCTTCAGACCTATCTTGTCTTTTCTACCTCTGGTTGATCATTTTTATGTAATTTCGGAATTATTATCTTTTCACATATTCTTTGTTAGTCCAATCTATTGGCCAAAATGGCTAAAAATTAACTTTGAATTTGTGGTGATCGACCTTCCAGAGACTTCCCATTTGCATAAGGTGTTTGATAACGTTGGAATTGGAGTTCTCTGTTGATTTTAACATTCAACTTTTTGTTCCTTCTCGCCGAATAACTGCATTTTGTTCCCATGTAATTAGCTTAATCAACAATGTTTGTGGACTGGATTTGAGGCGCTTGCTTTTGGCAATTTGAATTTTGATATTATTTGTACTGATGCCGATATCGCATTCTCCTTGATGATAATCCTGATAATCCTAACATCGTTCTTTGAGCAGTGTTCCCACTGCGTTATTCTTCGACTAGGCCGTCATTTATATTGTATGACTTTCAATTTTGCAGCATCATCAACTTGGAATTTATTATTCGCCGTTGAGACAAGGTAAATAAAATAGCTCACCCAATTAATCCAATGACCTTTAATTTAAATAGACTTCTGATCTAGATCTACCGGAAAACACAGTTGGACTGCTTTATCATGGACCACCACATGCTATCATGTACTTACAGCGCATATTTTCATTCGGTGGAATGCAATAAAATCTATCACCTGCATATTCATAATATCCATAAAACGTTCAGGCTCTGAACCGCTCAACGGTCCAACTTTCACATAATCAAATAGTGTCTGAAATTGTATGTTGTATTGAGAGGATTACTCTTCGGTTAGACCCTTGAGGATCTCAAGGAGCAGTCTAATACAATTGTCAATATTCGATGGCAGCTTTAGCGCAAGCAGCCTTGAGGAGATTGTAAATGGTCGAACTAAGTAAAGGATCTTCCACTGTCAGTTATCTTAGCAGAGGTATTAAACGTTAGAAGATACTCTATCGGAGTAATTCGAAACATTATTTATAAAGTCTTTGACTTTAGACGTTAAGTCAATAATTTTTTATTTTAGCCAGTTAGAGTTATACAAACGATATCACAATTTCATATTTAATTGCAATAGCATTATTAATTAGAAGTTTATACGCACTTAAATATATACAGTTTTTCTTCAACAATTAGATTACATATAATAATTAAAAACATTGTGGACATGAGTTTTATCAAACCCGAAAATTCTCATAGGACAATATAATAATGATTAGTGAAGAATGGCGTATTGTTTACAACGATAATAGGAATGTTTAGCATTAATGAATGAAGCTTAATTAATCTAACATTTTTTGAAGGCATATTTTATTAAATTATAAACTAAAGGAGAATTATATGGATGCAATAAAAATTCCAAAACTTAGAGCAGAATTAACAGCATGATAACAAGCGATGAAAATATGATCTCACTAAATAATTAAAATATAAGATAATGTAAAACTGTGTGTGGTCGAATGAAAGATGAAGATATTTTGACGACCTTTAACTACATCTTTGAATTAATTGACATAGTAGCGGCTAGGCTAATGTTTTGATATTTTTATTCTCGGGCACATGCAATTTGATCCAGAAATCACTTCAGTAAATTTCAGTCTTGCCAAAATTAGGAATGATTTACAACTACCTTTGATAAATTGTCAAATTCGTGGTCTAGTTAACAGTTGTTCGTGGATTGCGGAATTGCTATTGTCAATTCAACAGACATTGTCAAAATCGGATTCATCAGTACCCTCTACCTCACCTGGATCTTTAATGGCTGTACAATATGATGGTCTTTCACTCGAAAATTTTTCAACGTACAATTTAGCTAAATGCTATTTTGATAACAAGGATTTCTTAAGATGTAGCCACCTACTTTCGTCATTAGCCGGTTCCCATCCTCTAATTGACTTTCTATTTTTCTATTCTCGGTACATGGCGATTGAAAAGAGAGGTACAGATGAGGCTATAACAAATAAAGAGGATTCATCGAGACAACCGGTATTTCCTTATCCTTCAGATAACTACAGAAAGTCGCTATTCGAATTAAAAACTGACATTGAGCGCAGATATGGCGCTGAAGAGGTTATTCAAGGTACATCTCTTAATGCATTTCTCTCTTCGAGCGTGGATGTTTATACTGCCTACGTATTAGCTCTAGTTCATATTCGGTTGGGTTGCCAAAAGTCGGCTCTTAAGATTCTCTCCCACATTGTAAAGAAAGATTCCTTATTATGGCCAGCTTGGTTTGAAATGTCAAAATTATTTGAAGATCGGGAGAATTTCGATCGAGCCTTTCCTCCTGTCACAACAGTAGATAATGGCAACTGGATGAGAGCAATATTTCGTGCCAAGGTGAGTCATCATTATTATTTGCTTATTTTCCCCATTAGGCACTCCTCAACTTTCAAGACACTGAACGTGCCCTTGCAATCCTAACCTGCCTTTCGAATGGTGGGTTCCATAATAGTTTAAACCTTCAGGCAGACATTGCGGATGCTCATGAAAAACTTCGAGACCATGATATCTCAGCTACCATTTACAAGAATGTGAGGAAATATTTATCGCTTTACTCTTTTAGATTTTCACAGTTGATCCCTATCGACTAACTGACGCCGATATCTATTCAAATGTTCTTTTTGTCAAAGCCGACCATGAGGAATTAGCCTTTTTAGCACGTCGATGCTCAGAGATTGATAAGTACAGACCAGAGACTTGTTGCGTTTTGGGGAACTTTTATGGTCTTCGTGGTCAGCACGACAAGGCTGTACTCTATTTTCAAAGAGCTCTACGATTGCAACCGAGATATGTTCTCGTTTGGATTCTTCTTGGCCATGAATATGTAGAGATGCAGCATTTACAGTTGGCTATCTATGCATATAATCAGGCAATAATGCATAATAGGTATGACCATCGTGGATGGTATGGCTTGGGGCAGCTCTATGAGTTCATCAAGCAACCTCAACATGCTCTCTACTACTATAAGTAAGTAGTGTCGACTTTGCCGACTTTTCGATGCACTTTGTTGCGCTTTTTGTTATTAACTCTAATCATTTATTGGCTTTAATTAATTTGCAGGCGATCCAGTGATTAATTGTGGGTTTCTGATGAATAGAAATCTCTAAGAATTCAGAAATGTTCCTAGTTGTGGTTGACTCAGTGCTTATAAAATAAGTGGGGAAAGTTGCTGGAACATTGAAATTTAATAATTTTGAATTTGATTGCGAAGTACAGATGCTTTTTAAAGAAATGATTGGTGACCTGATTAACCAATGTCTAGACGTGATACGATTTTTAAGTGTAGTTTGCCGGTGCAGGGTGAATCGGATTACATGTAGAAACTCGACCTTTGCCACTAATATCTCTATTGAGACCATAGTTCTCGTACTTCGTAAGATTGATCTTGCTGAATTGTGCGTTTATGTGTGTGGCTTCCGCAATTTTATCTATAACGTCAATGAACTTGACATTCAGGTTTTGGGTTTGGAAAAGAGATTTTTCATTCTATCAGGATATTACTATTTGGCTTTGATCAACTTATCCGGTTGCTGTCGGTTTAAAGCTGCTTCTGAGGGGTCAAATAGGACTATGATAGCGACTTCACCAGCCAATTCAAAGGTTCTCTTTACCAAGTTAATGGTTTTGAGAAACGTTTTTGAGAACGGCTTTTTGTCCTGTAGTTTTCAACTAGTTGATTGATGCTTTGCCTCAATTTTATTTGTCAGGTGATCTTGTTACTTTTTCCCACTGCAGGCGTGCGCAGTACCTCTGTCCGTCAGATTCACGTGTAATTGTGGCATTAGGTGATATGTACGAACAGCAAAACAATGTTGAATGCGCGAAAATGTGCTTCTGGCGAGCTTACTGTGTCGGTGATGTGGAGGGGACTGCGCTCTTCTCGTTGGCTCGCTGCTATGAGAAGTCCGGCAACGATTGTGAAGCCGCCGCTGCCTACACTCAATTCATCCGCCAATGCGAAGCTCGTGGTGTAAGTTACTCATCTTCGCTTTCCTTCAAGTGGTGTGTACGACTAATTAGAGCATAACTAGTTATGGTATTCTTCCTCTTATGCCACAAGGAAGTAAACTTGCGGATCCACAACCCTAATTGTATTAGTTCAGGACTTAACCTTATGCTCAGGTTGATGAGCATATTATGACATGCTTCATCATTTACCACTATTTAGGTTATATGTCTATATTAATAATCCATCTTATTAAAATTTTCAAGAAAATAAGTTTATGCCAGATTTGTAGATGATATTCCGTTTAGTTCTGATCGGATGGTTTATATACTACCTTAAGGTTGAAGAGGAAGTATGAAAGTTGTTAGGGATTTCATCCGATATTGGCTTGTTACTTCAGAAATTTATTCGCTTGCATGCATTAATTTGTCCTAGTCACGTGCAACCCGAAGGAAGTTTTTTTCGTTGCGAATTTCCGCGGTAATTCCCAAAGAAATCCGGAGGGTAAGCTCTTCACGTCTCCAATGAGAGCTTAAATCGTTCGTTAGTGTCAATAATTGGCAGGTCAAAAATGTTAAAGACACTAATACGAATTCGCACTTTTCAAAAACGACAATGCAATGTTGCCTATTTTTAAATTCTACTTTCAACCCTGATTTGCTCTTCCAGTTCTTGTATACCACCCCCCCCCCTTTATGTAACTAACTGTATTTTGGCTTAATTGTCCAGTAGTATTTCGAAATCATGCTCCGGGTACCTTATACGGTGGAAATAAAGTGTGTGTGTGTGTGCGGGGGGGGGGGTCGATGTTTTATGAATATGAGGATACGATAGAGCCTCCCATTTTAATTCTTGACTCTTTGGGAGATTGTTTTTGCTTTGTGCGGGGCCGGTGGGCTTTATCATTTTTGAGAATTATCTCTTTCCTTTTATGTAAACCTGTGCATTTATTTTTCAATTTCTAGTTTTGTCTTCCAAATTATTGACATAAATAGGTGTTGGTTGTAACAGCTTCGCATAATTTTATTAACTCTTAATGGAGTGTTCCACTCAATGCGTAGAAGTCTTCAAGGGACAAACCCTGGCTTAGTCGATACTGCCAAATCTGTTCTAAGGGTCTTTATGTTTGGAGGGGGGGGGGGGGGGGGTATTTTTACCGCGTTTCGTTTTCATGAATGAGGATTTTTAATCATTTGTAATTCAAAACCCCACCTCAACTCTGTTCGAAATAGATACACTTCTAAATTAGTTCGAGTTTAAGTGTATGGTAATAATTATGTCCACTAGGACAAAAAAGTTTGTTGATTTACACAAGATTAGCAAATAACTACTTGGAGTTAAAAATTGATCAAGTGAGCACAATTCATCACCATATTCTATTTCTCTGTAGGTAAGCAACGAATCTGATCTAGGACAGGCGTATCGTTTTCTTGCAAATTACCACTTCAGGTATGGACATCACAGCGACGCTGTTGTGGCGATCAACAAGTGTCTGGATTTTCCGGAAATACGGGAGGAGGCCAAAGCACTCTGCCTCCAAGTGACTCTCATCTCAGGTTCTGGATCGGGGACTTTGAGTGACGCAACTCACCAAGTGCTTCCACCAGCCATGCCTTCTACGCCAGACACCAAAAGAAGTAAGAACTTCAATTTTATTGTAAATGTCGAAATTATTACTTTACCTCAATTATTCCTCCCTACTATTCCTTTTATCTTCCAACTCATTTCCTGATTTACCATATGTGAAAGAGTGGTGGCTGGTAGGGCGTCCAGCGATGTCTCCCCCAAAAAAGCGTCTCTATCAAGATTTTGTTGTTTAAGTTGAATGCTTTTTGGATTTCCAATTTACAAAAGCTATTGGGTTTGTAGCAATCAGGCTCGAAAGTGTAAAACGAACGTTTCATGTTATGTAGACATAATTCAAGTATATCGAAAAATGCGTAAGACTAAGCTCTTATTTGTATTTTCCATTTTATCTGAAAATTTGTTGCTATTTCTGTTAAGTTGCCTTGTCTTCTTACTATTAATTGCCATTTCTAAATTTCTCCTTTTTGTAGATACAACCGTAGATCTCCTTGCTGATCGCCCAATAGTAAGAGCTCGAAGAGTAAGTGCTCTTTTATAACTTTAAAATTTCAGTCTTTTTGAAGCCTTACAATGGAAGCTGATCGGTGACTATAAATTTGTTAATTTCTTACCAATGGTGCTATTGCATCTGCAGTTATTTTTGTATTGTTTAAGGCTACCGATTGTGAATCTGTAAGCTAATTTCAGACATTTGGTTTCATTTCTTCTCCGAGTTTTTAACCAATAATAATACTCATAAACCCTCCTAATTTAAATACATTCACTGTGGATAATTACTTTCTTTTTATGCGTTAATTATTAAATCTTATTGATAATGGGTTCATAAATTCTTGCTATATTTCTTTGATCAACCAGTGGCAAAGATACATCTGCTAGTGACATAGATGGTATTTAAGTTCATGTTTGTGAATTTACGATTTAATTTTATTGTTATTTTTTTCGTTTTCAAGCGACTTCAGGGCTCTGATTTCACCACCAATGCTGAAAGTACGGGAACTGAATCGCCTTCTGTTCATTTTTCCAATCCCGATGATAATAGCAATTCTGCCGATTTTGACTAGCCACCTCTTTCGCCTTTGTTTCAGTCCGAGCATTTGTTCACACTCTGTGTCTGCTTTTCACTGTGTATGTTGTGTAAAATTATAAATGCAGTTATTATTGTTTCTGAAACTCCCTTCTTTCTTTTCTGATGTTTTGGGGGTAGATATTGTGTTGCTCTAACTTTGTCACTTTATCGCAGGTAAAATGGTACTAAGTCAAGAAATGAAACCAGTAATAACAGAAAAATACCTGCCTTTTCAACTAAGTCGTGCTCGATTTGCCTCCGTATTTGGACCACAATTGGAACCCTTGGTCATTACGGGCAGTGCACAGGAAGAGGTAAGTATAAAGGTCTCTCTTGGTAATGTATTGTCCCTGCAGCGGAATGATTATGCTTTCCTTTCAGAACGGATTGATAGTGATTTTTGATAGCTATTTAGTTTCCTTAATTGTGGGTGGGGGGGGGGGGGGGGGGAGTGTTCGATCCCGACTATCGCTATCCAGAAAATAGCAATAAAAGTGAGTAGGGAGTGCGGTTATGCAAGGTTGGTCTCTTTTGAGCAGTGACCGGTCGTAATCAGATGTATTTGCTTCATTGACGTTATCGAGTGCTTGAAATATATTATTTATTGGCATTGTCATCCGATGGCAGGTGTTTCGTTTTGGGTAATATCTGGAAAGACAAAATAGTTGACTATTTGGTTATCATGACGCAGGTCACTTTTAAGGAAGACGAGGTAATCTTTCTCTGTTCTCGGCAACATTCTGTCACAAATTTTCTCAATTAATTCTCCCCTCCACTATTTTATGCATTTCCTTTCCGTCATGACTCACAGAAACTTGATTGCAGTTCAGTATTAGATCTTACTCAAGGTACTGATTGTTGTTAGGATATTAACAGTATATTAAGTCAATTGTCCCTGACAAATGGAAGTTTTGGTAGTCCCTACCTTTTTTGTGAAAGTCTCCGATTTTGGTAGCCACTTGTTAATTGGCTTTATATGTTCATTTTAGTTTAACTCTCTTTGTGTATGGCAGTACAACCAATATACTAATTACGGTTCGAACTTCAAAGGTAGTGAAACAACAGATGTTGAGGTGCCAACTCCTCTCTCCGATTCATCTGATGAACCCCGATTGGTCTGCTCTGCGGTCCATGCCGGAAGTGTTACTCAACTTAAAGTAAGCAGTCGACATAGAACGACGGAAGCTAATACTTTTGGCCCTTTAATATTTATTTCTTCCATCTCTTTCAGCCACGTGCTGATTCTCGTCTTATATTCACGGGTTCGTCTATGGGCTTCGTGGGTATGTATAGCCTTAGTCTACCTGAGACCGAACAGGATGTCTTTCGCCTTCATGAAGTTGGCTACTGGTCGCGCGCGCCCTCAAATCCTGCTGACGAACTACGACGAGTCGATGTACCCATTTCCGACGTTGCGGTTTCATCAGATGCCAGTCAAGTTTTTGCGGCCAACGACAATGGTGAACTCTTTGTGTTGGATACGGAGACACTCGCTGTAAAACGTATGTCTGTAGTTCGCGCCAATGTTTTATTTATTGAAAAAGGGAATATTTTGCGAATCGTCTGTCATATTATTTCAGAGCAATTGATTATGTCTGGTCTGGGTCATGACTTGTCGACAATCAATGCACTTGAGCCATTAGACCCTAGCTGCTTGGTCAGCGCAAATCAGCTTGGACAACTTAATATTTGGGATCTGCGCGACAGGCACACATCTACCATTCCATCTAAGAAGATCGTTCCGTAAGTGCTAGGTTCAAAACCCTCAATCTGATTAAAGCTTATAAAAGACGAGTGAGTAACTGATTACATCTTAGTAGATTGATGTTTTTCATGAGATCTGTGCCATCTTTATAGCAGATGGTGAAGAGTGTTCATTTTCTACTAATATAAGCGTTTGTATTTTTATAATCATAAATTTTAAATTAGTAAATTTCCATCTATTCTTAGCCCTGTCGTGTCAGTATCGCTACCTCAATTACTTCCTTGGTATGTATCATAGAGTTTACCAAAAGTCGATAGCATAAGGCTTTCAGCTAAGTCAGATGAGCAGTCGACTTACTACGCTTTATATGAATAATATACTCAATCCTAGGTCGGGTGAACCGATTCCCTTGTTGTGTTTGTCTCAACATCCTGGCCAGTCACATCTACTTGCAGTTGGTGGTGTAGCGAACAATTATAGTAGTGGGGATCAATCAATGGCAACAACAACCAGCTATATTTGGGACCTTAGGGAAGAACGACATCCTCTAAGTGAGATCGCTTGTAGAGGCGGCACCGTCTGGGAAATAGGCTTCCACTCACACCAACCCCAGTATCTCTTTTTGGCCACTGAGGAAGCCGGTCTCATGCGAATCCATTCGCCCACTTCCACTGCAGGTAAGTCTTATCCCATTTTGGTTTTCCTACTTATATGCAATACGCACATATTATGTTTATGCTTTAGACTCCTCGTGGTCATTCCAGCAAATTTCTCAAAAGTTGACCTCAGCTTGCGTGACTTCTAATCCCACTCCGTATTGTTCTGTGAATACTTATGATTTGGCTGGCGATCTTATTGTCTGTGGTCGAGATAAGTGCACTCTGCAAACTGTAAAGGATTCTGCTTTTTCGTTACTGAGTTTTGCATGAAGAAATTCATAATGGAAATACGATTCATGTATATTTTTATTAAAATATAAATAGTGTCATGTGATCATTATTGTTATTTTGTGTTTCTATATGCTTTCAGGTTGTATGGGATGTATGATCGAGTCGCATCAGTGCCTTTCATATTATTTTCAAAATTAATGGTGAACTATTTGAAAATTAAAGTTCGTTGCATTTGAATATTTTAATAAAGTTGCTAATTCGATTCAAATACTTCTTTAATTAAACTTCTTTTAACAATAGGGGCCAGATGACGCTGCAAGTTGTATAACGTGTGTGGGATGAATTAATGTACAAAAGGCAGAACTTGCAAAATAATTATAATTAGGACTGGGTTATGAACTGCCAAATGCAATCCAAACGCTTATCGTATGTTCAGTAATGCCCATTACCTTTTTGATATCTCTCAAATAAAATGAGGGTTTGCAACTCAACGACGCCAAATAACTAGTATCTAGAGATACTCAACTTGAACAATACCTACTAAATGGCCTAAAATCGATGAAAATGTTATTTACCTGTCAAATGAATACAACTACAAATGTTCGATGTGTACTAACTCGCTTTCGCAACTGACCAATCTCATGCATATGATTTGTGTCTGTAACAACAAACCCTATGGGTAAAGCTGAATAAAAAGCACCGAATGAAAATTGAGTAAGAACGAGGAAAAAGGATAGAACGCGTAACCAGTGAGAGAATGAGAAAGAAAAGACTTCACCGCTAGTCATAGTAGACTAAAGAGAATAATTGCGCTTTAGCGGTTCATGATTCACCAACTGATACTTGAGAAACAGCTCAAATAAAGGTATAAATGGTAACAAAATTGTTCGCACTAAAACGAATATATTTTACTTTACTAAAAGATTTTCAAATTATTTCGGGAAATCATTCAGCAAATATTTTGAGAACGTAAAGGCGGCACTGGACGCGACTATGACTTTGTTTAAGTTTGCCTGTCCTGTTTAAGAGAATGGCCAACTTTTTAGGTAAAAAAAACTTGATAAAATTTTCAATATATGAATAATTGAAATAACTAAATGTTTTATAAAATTTTGAGGCACACGGGAAAATATTCCTTGATAATAATTTAATGTATTCAGTCAAATAAAAAGCAGAATTACCAACTAAAACGAGCAAGTATTAATAGGATATGATATTCTTGACATTAAACAGTACTGGAATCTAAACTTAGAATAAAGCCTTGAGCAGTATAATCCGTTGAATGATTGGTAAACTAAAAAGCGGAGTATTTGAATTATGGTGACACTTGTTCTCTAATTCGTTCTGCCTTTCATCAAATTTACAGGTTCGTCTTTTACCTAACTTTATTAAATTTCGACCTAACTTACATCTACGCTAGGTAAAATATTACTGCAATAAAATATTTCAATTTTTGTTTAGAATGGGCAGTTCCCACTCAAGTCCTGAAACCCGAAAATTGAAGTGCTTTCCAGCAATAAGAACACTACCAGAAACCTCCATGAACGCTGAACCCTTCCCGGAGAATCATACTGTGGTTAATGGAACTGTAAGAGATTTCTTTCAAGTGATGTCTAATTTTATTTAAGGCATCAGAAGTAAACTCTTCTCACTCGCCTTCCAATTCAGTTGAGGCTGGTGGTAGTTTCGTGAAAAAAAATAAAGGTCGATGTTGGCTGCATAAAATTGCTAAACCGTCGTCTTTTCATTCTGGGCGTAAGTTTTCTATTTTTCTATTTCATTGCTTTCATATTATTTCGTTTTTGCGTTAGGTCAATGGTATCAGTCAGGAAATTCTAATGAAACTGAAGAATTTGATAAAAGTGTTTTAAATACCTCTAGACAAAAATCGCTTTCTAGTAGGCCTATTTTTTCAATTTGTATGACTATGCTGACATTTTCTTTAATTTCCTCTATAATTGTTCATATTTCCTTGTTCTCTTTTAGATACTAAGTCGCCGCAACAACTGAACCATGTTCTTTCGTCCGACTCAGACCTTCCAGTTTTCTCTCCTGTTCCTGAGGAAAAGGAATTTGATGGGAGCCCCACCTTATCATCTTCAGTAGTGCAAAGTGCTAAACAAAGTAGAAATATAGGGTAAGCTCATTTTTAATGCTTTACACCATTGAAAACAGATTTTATAGTAAAATGTCTTGTTCTTTGTTGTGTATATGAGTATTTTTATTTAATTTAATGCCATTTATTATTTTTGTCTGCTTTACTCATAGAGTTTTACTTGCTTTGGCCGTTTCGATCTGTGGTTTTTTTGTTTTCATACATTTTAAAGGTCCTTTCTGGGTTCATTTTTGCACCTCTTTGCTGTGGTCGCAACTATTTTATCAGCCCTACTTTACTTATCAGAGGTTCATTCTTTTAATTAGCGAAGTATTAACAGAGCGTAATTTTCTCGTTCTTCATTACGTCGATTTCTAATCCATTCTTCATTTTCATGAGCTTCATTTTTATTTTTATCGCAGAATTTTTTTCCCAATTACCAAACTGAATAGTTTGTTCATAGCTTATGAAATTTGTATTCGCATTTTTAACGCTGGTACCTTATTTAATTGAAATATGTTATGCCAATTACTATTAGCCATAAATTTTTTGAAGATGCTATTGATGAGAATTTTCTCATGATTTGCCTTTGTATAGGGCGTGTACCACTTCTCATGAAATCAATTACCTTTCTTCGAAGTTGCTTCTTTTTAATATTTGGTATTGTCCATTTGCTTATCTAATGAATAATAATTCGCTACTCCTCTATTTCCTTCTTTTACCTTCGAAGCGACAATTTAACGATTAACCAAAGATCTTAAATACTCTTATGTTTTCGAAACTTGCCACCAAGGCTATTTTTCTTCTACCTGCATGACATAATCAGTCATTATTCTCTGTTTTGTGTCTTTTATGTTCCTTAATTGTCGCGTTCTTTTTTTCTAAAATCTGTTTCATTGCAGAAATCATGTTTTAAAATATTACTTTTGCAAAACCGAGGTTTCATGACCGTGCAAAAAGTTAAATAAGCTAGCTCAACTTGAATATGATTAAAGTGGCAAGATTCGTTGTTCTGAGAGAAAACTCATGTAATTTATGTTCTATTTATGGGATCACATAAGTCAAATAAGGTTGTCTTCTTCAATTCCTCTTTCAACTTCTTTTTACTGATGGCCATTTTCAGTTTTCTTCTCTATGGGAAAAAAATTTGGACTACAATTGCAGTAATATGATTTCGCAGAAATAAAATCCTATCACTTACCATTTACTTCTTTCAGGCGTTTGAGTTTACTGTCTCCAAACGGGACGTATCCCCTACGTCTTCGTAGTGAGTCCTCAGTATCAAGGAATCAATATCGTCGACGGAACCGCATGAGTAAATTACCCGATTTTCTTTCTCTGGACTCAGATGTTGCCCATGAAACTCCCATGACTTGCACCCTCCTGCACTATTCTTCAGCGAACGGTAACAATAAGGAGTTTCCCTTTCTCCCAGAGGGCACTGCCTATCTCCTTTCTGATGAGCAGCATCGATCAGTTGAACAGACTTTATGCAGTACCAAACTCCTACTTCATCGTTTGAAGAGAGTGCTGATCGAGGTATGAATTTGCGAAATTATTTATTTATTTATTTCAAATGGCAGGCGTTTTGATAGATATCATTAGCCATTTAGCTGACTTCGGGCTTTACAGAGGGAAGGTTCATCAAAGTAGCAGAAAGTCGTGGGGTGGGGAACAGAAGAGCGATTCACAGATGTAAAAGAGGCAGACAGACACAAAGGTAGAGAAAAAAGGTAAGGTGAGTACTGTGAAAGGGGTCGAATATGACAAACAGGGGGGGGGGGTCGTGGTAGTTTGAAGTAAGAAGTCAACTGCCGGCTAACAGACTTTTTTGCCGTATGAGTATACGTTGCCCAGGGTGTACCACGTGAAGGTAAGTCTATCGCACACCCCATTTACGAAATTATCATTTTCATTGGACGAGACAAAAGCTCTGCTAGCATCTAGACGCAAGCCCTATTAAAATGTTTACTGTTGAGTCTAGTAAATGAATTCGGAGCTTCAAGAGTTTTACTTTGATTGAATTCTCCATGATGCCTGCAATCATTGTTATGGTAATTGATTGCGGGATCATGATCATTCTTGGTTAATTGTTTATCTTATTGGAATTACGTTGTAAGTTAAGAATTTAAGCGTTGCATTCGCTGGAAGGAGAGCAAAGTTAGTTTGAAAATTGAGCT